ATTTAATTGTTAATCCACTGATTTAGTTCTGACTCTGATTTCATGACTGCAGTATTTACTCCCCATTAGCTCATTACCCTGCCATAATGCAGATCTATTTTAGTTTGGTTGTTTATTCATTAGCAAGAAATCTCCCAGAAAGCACACAGGACTTATTTTTTCTTTCAAAATAACAAACTAAAGATGCTGCAGGTGCACTCAGATATTAAGGTATTTCCTTAGTACCTACCTACATCCTATTCAGAAGCAGTTTTCTTAGAATTAGAATAGACTGACATTGCCTTCTGATGGCCATTGGTGGCTCACCAAAGCTCTTTGCTCAGTTGCAATTTCCAGCTGAGGCCCACCATTTAATCCTTCAGTGCCAGCACCTTTTAGGCTTCTCCAGATTTTCACTAACTTCCAAGGAGTATTTTTCTACATTTGGGCACCTCAATCTCCTTGCTTCATTTCCTAGGGTATAGGCAGGGTCAGGTACCTAGCTGAGAGCTGGGATTCCCAAGTTTTCTCCCTGCTTTATGTGCCTCACGGTGACTCCTTGAACTTGGGGCTCCTCATTGGCCTCAACACTGACAGCACAGATTGGTGCAGTCTGCCAGAGATCTGCCCGGTTGTAGGTTATGGAAAAGAGCAAAGTCTTGTAGGTAAGCTTTTTGCTAAGTTGATCTCGTTTCATACAGATAGGTATTGTTTTCCCACTTTGATATACACAAGTGAGAGAGATAATAAAACAATATCTGCAAGAGCTGTCCTTTTCTGCATGCAATATTTTGTCCTCTCAATACCTTAATCAGCCTTGTTCATAAGGGCTTTTCTTAAGTCTGCCTGTAATTAGGACTCACTTTTACTCTGAGCTTGTGAACTAAGCTATCTCCTACTGCAGCTGCATGAACACTTCCCAAAATACAGATTTCTCACCTTTTCACACACATTGCAATATGTTTAGTTCTGAATTCAGTAGATCTGAACAATTACTTTCAGTAGATAAGAACGTTACTCAAGAATTCTGGTTTTCTTACAAACTGTAACATTAGTGAGATATAATAAATGCAGCTGCCTTTGAGCGTCATGTTTCTCTAACCCACATCCAAGTTTCATCCAGAAAGGTGGTTTGCCAGGTGACCTGCTCTGATTCCTGTTAGGGAAATCACTGCTGCCCTGCACGGACACAAAAAAAGCAGCAGCACAAGCAAGGCCAGCCCTTGGGAAAGTGGGGTGGGATTTTGGAGGCTGCCCAGACCTTTGCTCGTAGCTACAGACCTCAGGCCCCACTGCACACCTACGGCAATGGTTCTTTGACAGCTGTAGAATTTACCCCCATTTAGACACATCTACTTACAGTCATTTTATCATCTTTCCAAGTGAGAAAAGTAAAATTCCAGCAATAAAGTGAGTTTTTCTCTCTGCTGGGGCTGGACCTCCTCCCACCCTGCTCCATCCCCAGTTTGCTCTTCTTCATCTGTTAAATATTGTGGGCAAGCAAACGATGACTGAATTACTCTGTCCAAGCACTGTTACTGGGAGCAGAGAACAATTTTCTCCCAGTTTGCTCTTGGGTCCCTGCTGTAACATGCCTTTAAGCAAGAAAAGCAAGAGCCAGAATTGTGCCATCTAATGACCCAAAAAGGGGAGGATCTGTCCCTAGCCCCTCCCAGCACAAAAGGGTTTAGCCCATAATCCAGAGTCTTCAGATGGCAATAAAAAACAGATTAATGAGCATTTCTATTATTTTCCCATCCTTCATGTGCAACCCTCCTGGCAGCTCTGACCAATCCCTTTTTATGATTCAGCTGCCTTTCATTTTGCTCTGTTTTGCCTGAAAGCCAGTTTATGACTTTATTGTTCAGCTCTTGATGTGCAGAGGTGAAAGTCCAGCTGTGCACCTCACCACGTTCCCTCTGTCTTTTGCTTTCAAATGGTCACTGAGCAATTAGTTCCTCTGCACTACTCCTGTTTCCCCCTCTCAAGGCTTACTGGCAAGTTCCCACCCTCATATGCATCAGCCTTCTAGTGTTTTCTGGGGTTTTCTAGAGCAGTTTACCACTCCTCCTCAAAGTCAGCAGG